CCCCATCACTAATCTGGGAACCCCAAACCAAGACCATCCTGGGATTCTGAGAGGTTTATGGCACCCAAGGCTCTAGAGCAGCGGTTCTCAACCTGTGGGTCGCGACCCCTTTGGGGGTCGAATGACCCTTTCACAGGGGTCGCCTAAATACATCCTGCATATCAGATATTTACATTACGATTCACAACAGTAGCAACATTAAAGTTATGAAGTAGCAACGAAAATAATTTTATGGTTGGGGGTCACCACAACATGAGGAACTGTATTAAAGGGTCGCGGCACGAGGAAGGTTGAGAACCACTGCCCCAGAGAATGAGTTACAGTATTTTGTCCACTGAAATTCCAATGAAGTAAATGCCCAAGACTAGCTTCTGGCTTCAGCAGCGTCTCACCCAATCCAGGTGATCCTCAAACCCATCCACGCAGAGCAGCCTGACGGTGTGGCCTGAAGAAGCCAAAGCCAGGGAGGGTCGCATGCCCCCCCAGGTCTCCAAACTGAGAACAAAGGCAAGAATATCAGCTGGGTCCTAACTGGTTTGGCTCAGTAGATAGAGTGGCGGCCCAGGGACTGAAGGGTCCTGGGTTCGATTCTGGTCAAGGGCATGTATCTTGGTTGCAGGCTCGATCCCCAGTGCAGGAGGCAGCTGATCAATGTTTCTCTCACTGATGTTTCTAACTCTCTATCCCTCTCCCTTCCTCTCTGTGAAATCAATAAAACATATTTAAAAAGAAAAAAAGAAAATCAGTTGATGGGGACAGGCCATCAACTATTTAAAAGATTTCTCAACTAAGAATACATTAATATTTTAGAGTAAAATTAAAAATCCCCATTTTCCCAGGGATTCCATACCTACCTTTAACTGTATGCTATCTAAAATTTTCTTAATTAGGTTTTCCCCAAAATAAATTAAACAACAACAACACTTCAGTTAAAAAATAAATCCATAAACACTAAATTTTTTAACACCTTTATTTACTTCGTCTCTAACAGAGTTAATCAGTAACAGATACTCTATCTGTTGTGAAGAGAGTTCATTTCCCAGATTAAATATGCACTAAACATATACCTGTGACAATATTTTGAGATATATGACGCTAATAAAGGTAACATTTATTGGGCCAGCCACTGGGCCACTGGGCACATTACTTAAATTACCTCAGTTAAGCCTTACAACAAGTCTATAAAGTAGGTGCTATTCTTATTCCCACTTTATAGATGAGGTTATAAATGAGGAACCATGACTGTAATTTAATCTCCTCTGACCCAAAACTTGAGGTCAGTGTTTACTCTGGCTATAAAAAGGTTGAATGAGCAAATTAGAAATAAAACAGAAATGCAGAAGGCATACTTAATCTCCTAGAAGGTCCTAGGTTTTAAGACATACTGAAAAGCAGAAGCTAATTGGGAAGATTCTGTCTGAAACTACACCGTGTTAGAACACTTTAAAATTCAGACTTTTACTAGTTAAGAGCAGGTTTCTTCTCACTACCACCCCCAACAGTTAACCCAAATTAGTAGTATTGCTACAGATGATACAATATAGTGGATGTCAGCTGCCACTCTCCCAGGATCCATTTTCCTCCCTGAACAGTACCCAGAGCTCCGTTTATTTGTGGCCCTACCTCCCCCAGTCCTGGTGCTTGGGAGAAAACTGACACACTCCCCTCAGGGGAAGAATAGGCCAGTCAGAAGGGGGAAAAAAATCTCCCATCCCCACCAATCAACAGAGGGCATTTGCCTGGCCATTGGGATTGGCTAAGGAATAAGCACATGGCTCAATTCAGGCCAATGAAATGCCAGGGTTGGTTTGCTGGGGAGGGCTTTCTGGAAAAGACACTTTCTCAGTCTTTTTAAAGAGTTACTAGAAGTGATGTTTCTTTACTTCTGGCCACTGGGATGTGCAACAAAGAGCCCAAGAACGTGCACAGCCATCTGCCCCCTTGAGAGAAGCCAACCTGAGAATGAACTGACCCCCTTGTAGAGTGAGCACAGAGATGGAGAGAAACTGGACAGCTGATGGCTTGCTGAGCTGCCGTTTCTCACCTGCCCTGCAGTCCATCCCATGAGCAGATTCATTAGCCCCTGTGCCGGGGGAGGCCCTCTGAGTTTGTTTTTTTGACAGTCACAACCCCAAAGAATCCAAACTGACAAGTGAGAAATAAGAACACATGTACAGCTTCTTCCAAGCAGTGCCTCAGATTTTGCTTTACACTGTTCCTCACTTTGTTCTCAAGAAAACGCAATGGGCTTTCAAGAAACACTTTCATGAACTAATGAATGGCCTTGGGCAAGTCGCTTTCCTTTTCAACTATAAAAAGATCTAAGTTTGACTAGAGGATTTCTGTTGTTCCTTCTGGCCCTCACAGCCAACAGTTTTGATTCCACAGTAGAAATCCTATATAATAAAGAGGTGATACACAAACTGAACATCACTCCAACACACAAGATGGCCACCCCCATGTGGTCAAAGATGGCCACTACAAGATGGCCGGCAGGGGAGGGCAGTTGTGGGTGATCAGGCCAGCAGGGGAGGGCAGTTGGGAGGGACCAGGCCTGCAGGGGAGGGCGGTTGGGGGGGGACCAGGCCTGAAACGGAGGGAAGTTAGGGGCAATCGGGCCGGCAGGGGAGCAGTTAGGTGTCGATCAAGCTGGCAGGGGAGTGGTTAGGGGCAATCAGGCTGGCAGGCAGGTGAGAGGTTGGGAACCAGCAGTCCCGGATTGTGAGAGGGATGTCCAACTGCCTGTTTAGGCCTGTTTAGGTGGGGTCGGGCCTAAACGGGCAGTCAGACATCCCTTGAGGGGGCCCAGATTGGAGAGGGTGCAGGCAGGGCTGAGGGACACACACCACCGCCTGTGCAAGAATTTCGTGCACCAGGCCTCTAGTATCCTTTATAACATAATCCAATGCTGGGGTCCAACCCCAGCAGGTCCAGGGGTCCCCAAAGGTGTGGACAGAGTCGGCGAAGAAGGAATGACACGGAGACAGCGTTCAGTTGATCAGCAGCCTAGCCAGGATCTCTAGCCAGGATCTCCAGCCAAGTTCTGTTCTGGATCTCCAGCCAGGTTCTGGTCTGGATCTCCAGCGAAGTTCTGGTTAGGATCTCCAGCCAGGTTCTGTGTCCATGTTCTCTTGCTAGGTTCTCCAGCCAGGTTCTGTCCAGGTTCTCAAGCCATGTTCAGTCACCAGGTTCTAGTCAGGTTCTCTTGCCATGTTCTATCCAGGTTCTGTAGCCAGGTTCTGTCTCTAGGTTCTGTGTCTAGGTTCTGTGGCCAGTTTCTGTCCAGGATCTTTTGCCATGTTCTCTCCAGTGAAGTTCTTCTGTCTCTAGGTTCTGTGTAGGTTCTGTGTCTAGGTTCTGTGTCCTGTTGTCTTGTTACATCTATATTTATACCAGTTGATTCCAATCCTATCAATCTCTATTCCAAAGGTTAGGGCATTTCTTATCTCCATTCCAGGGAGTAAAGATTATGTAGCTTAAGCATGATTGTTCGTAGTTAAAGTAATTAATTACCCGCCTGGCACTTAGTTAAGGGGTTTTATTCCCTCCCTAACTTCAGGGGAAAATCCCTACCTGGGGAAACAACCTTTCTCAGAGAGGTGACCTTGGTTAAAACACATAGTGCCAAGAAGGTGAGTAAACATATTAAGAACAGTATGCCATATATGCCAGGTCCCTTGAAACAGCAAGGATGGACCCACTCCCGGCAATCCAAGGAGTCTGCAGCTCTTGCTGGGTCAAATGTTTTCCAATTGCAACTCCATATTCATCCCTCCACCCTTCTCCCCTCAGCTCTGTGCCTCCAGAGGTTCTGACCTCTATGGACAGCATCAACATGACCCCCTGCCTTCAGGCTTCTGGCTGGTGTGCCTAACGGGGGGCACCAGCAGGAGACAAGAGAACTGAGGGGTGTTCAACGAGGATATTCATTCTCGTGGTTCTTTCCTGCCATGTTGGTGTAGGTTGACTTCATCCTTCTACCAGAGACAGCCTTTCCATAGGGCTTCCCTTTCCAGTTCCAGCAGCCAACCCCACCCTCTTCTTTTCGGGCCTGGGCAAGGGAACAGCGGCCTGACATCGCCGGCCGCGAGAAGTTTCCATAGCCCGGTGCTGGTTTCTCCTACCCTGCCTCAGCCACTATAAACAGGCCCATCAGTAGAGTCTCTGGGGGTTCTCCGCTTGAATCATCTGTTTCCTACTGGAACCCCAAGACACATGGCTTAGAAGTTAAATCAAAATCAGCCACAACAAAAAAGAAACAGGAGCAATCAATTCACAGAACAGAGAAGAAAAGTGTGGCACTTGCCGAGAAAAAAACCCACACGCACCAAAAGAATCAAATGGAGACATCAGTCACCACCCTCCTTCTCCACCGTCACTGAGAATTGGTGGAAAGCAACCATCTCTTGCTAGACCAGGGTTTTAACCGCAAAAGAAAAAAAAATCTGTTTACACACAAATGTCCTGTTCCTTCAGACAGCTTCTGTGTGGAACCTGGCAGAGGAATCCCAGGTCTGTGTCTATTTTTTAGACGGACAAACTGAGCCTGAAGAAGACACAGGGCCAGAGCTGATAAAAACACTAGAAATGCCCCCAGAGCTCGTTCAAAGGCTTGTTGGTCCAGGAATCTGCCTCTGACAGGCTCGGTGGAGGGTCTCAGAGCAGCCTTCGGGTCTACCATTCTCCAAAGATGTCTAATTCCCTCCCAACCATCCAGAGTTCGCCTTCATGAACGTCCTTCACTGTTCACAACAGCTCTGCAAAGCCCAGAGAGACAAGACAGGGTGCCCTCGGCCCCATTCCAAGTGACACTGAATCCCAATACGTGATTCCACAATCACTGGTCATTTCCCAAACTTTTCCAGAAATCTATGGCTGTCCAGGCCCAGAGCAGCCCTCCTCTCCTTCGTGGGGCATTTCCCACACCACAGGCATCAAAGAAACGATCTTATGGCCCCGTCACAAACCATTCAGACACCGAGAATTTCCAGAGACGCTACCTGTTTTGGGATTAAGAGGCTCAGTCTTTCAGGGTCGTCCTGCTTTCGTGTCTTCCTCCTTCAGCATCCTCCGGAGCCAGGGCCTGTGGGAGTGACCGAAACAGTAGATTCAGGATACATGGCTTCAACATGGGAATAGATCGTCTCTCTCATCAGGGAGACTAGAAGCAGCCAAGGACTGAGCCCTGAACACCCAACAGTGGACCCTGCAGAGGCTGCGGAGGTGGGTCCCTGAGGGAGGAGAGGATTTAGGAGCGAAAGACACCCACCTCAGTGCTTGTAGCTACTCACGCCCCAAACCCAAGTCATTGTGACGCTCCTCTTCCCCCTACACTCCACGTTCAACCCACCAGCAAATGATGCCGGCTTTATCTTCCAAACAGACCCAGACTCTCACCACATCTCACCACCTCCACGGCTACCGCTTTGGTCCAAGCCAGCAGCTTCTCTCCCTAGGTCATTGCAGTCACCTCCTAGCGGGTCTCCCTATGCCCACCCTCGCCTTTCTACAATCGATATGATGTGAGCTGAACTGTGTCATAGAGAGAACTGTGCCTCCCCCAAGTCCCTATGTTGAAGTCCTAACCCCCGTCCCTCAGAATATGACCTTATGTGGAAACGGGGTCATTGCCGATGTAATCAGCTGTTAAGATGCGGTCATCACACTGGAATGGGATGGGTCCCTACTCCAGCATAACTGGTGTCCTCGTAAAAAGGAGAAATTTGGACACCAGCACCCAATCCACACGAGAGCATCATGTGAAGACTGGCATTCTGCTGCCACAAGCCAACGAGCAACCAGAAGTGAGGGGAGAAGCTTGGGCCAGGTCCTTCCCTAGCACCTTGAGAGAGATCACGTGGCCCTGCCGACACTTTGACCTCAGATTTCTAACCTCCAGACCTGTAAGACAATAAATTTCTATTTTAAGCTGTCCTGTTTGTGGTACTTCGTTATTGCAGCCCTAGCAAACTATTATACAATGCTCCCCGCTGCAGCCTCAGTGACCATTTAAATATCACTCTTGTATTCAAAGCACTCCTATATGTTTCATTTCCCTCAAAGTAAAAGACAACGTCCTTGAAATAACCTACAAGGCCCACACGTCCTGGCCCAGCCTCTTCCCGGACCTCTTCTCCTCCTCATCTGCTCTTCCTCAATGTTCTCCAGCCACAATGGCTTCCTCAAACATCCCCAGCAGGCTCCTGCCTCAGGGCCTTTGCACGGCCTTTCCCTCTGCCTCGAACACTAACACTCGTCTGCTAAGTGTCCTTTACTCCCTCCAGGTTTCTACTCAAATTTCACTTTCTCAGGGAGGCCCTCCACCGCCACCACTACCCTCTTTCCATCCCCCGCCATGTGAACGTTTTCGGTGTAGCTAGATCACTACCTGCCATTTGTTCCTACTTTTATCCCTCTCCTCTCACACTAGACCATAAACTCTGAGAGTAAGGACATCGTCTTATGGCATGTCCCTGAGCCCAGCACATAGTAGTTGCTCAAGAAACAGTTGTTGAAAGATTGATTTGTGGAATGAAAGAAGACAAGAGAGAAGAGAGTTGCCAAAAGGAGGAAGTTGTCCACAGTGTCAAAAGCAGCAAAGAGTCCAGAAAGATAAGGACTGAAGTGTCCGTTGGGTGTGGTAACATGGAAGCCACAGGTGACCTCAGAGAGGGCAGTTCCTGCGGGAGGCGGGAGCCCTGTGCAGAAATCCACCAGGTCCCTCCCCTGTGCCAGGCACACCCCCCACCCCCACCCCGTGGGCAGAAGCCAGCCTGAGTGGGCCGTGGCAGCGAAGGAGCAGAGCCTGAGGACAGAGGCTCCCCAGACTTTTTCCGTCTGTGAGGGGAGGGGAAAAGGAAACGCGAAGTAGAGGGGACTGGAAAGTTCGAGGAAAGAGTTTGGTGCTGAATGACGGGAGGGGGCGAGGTCCCAGCAGCTACAGGAGACAGAGGGACCCGTGTCCTGGAAGAAGGTTCTCCGGGTCGGGGAGGGAACAAGTCCTTCTCTGAGTGGAAGGGAACCAGGTTGGGAGGAGCCCAGATGCCAATAACCACCCAGGAGGGAAGGCAGGGACCCAAGTGGGCTCCCTGCTGTGGGAGAACCGTGCAAGTGCAGGCTGGCCCTGAAACTGAGCGTCTCCTTAACTTTTGTGCCCTGAGTGCCTCACTCTCCTCACCCAGTGCCGATCCTGATGCCCTGATTGGAGAGAGAGCTGGCTGCCGGCCAGCACCACTGAGGGCTCAGCTGACACTAGAAGCCATGGCTTCCTATGACTGTGGGGCTTCAGGGACAGGCCCTTGCCAGCCTTGATTTAGGAGGAGAGGCCTCCTAAGACTGAATTCGGGGGCCCCAAATAGCTCCACCCATTTCCGTCAAATCTGCGTGCTTCTCCCAGCTCCCAGGCACAATGCTTTGAGCCTTTTGAGGCCCTGCTCTCCACTCCTCCAACGCCTCCCAGTCAATCAAAAACTGTGCCTCTCACAGCACGAGAGGACCCCCATTTGGTTGAGCACCTACTGTGTGCAGGGTGCAACGCAAGTTAAAATCCTCAGACAGCCATCCTGTTTATAGATGATGAGCTGAGATTCAAGAGATTCAGAAGCCTGCTCAAGGTCACACGGGTAGCAAGTGACAGAGCTGGGATCTGAAACCTTCCGTCTCTAGCTTCCTTTCTATGTTCATGTCTCCACCCAAGTCCAAGCCCTCAACGTTTCATTCCTAAAACTCAACAGGACAGATGCTTTCTAACTCACCTCCCAGCACCCCGTTCGCAGTGCACACACCCAGGGGAGCCTCCCTCCAGCACTGTCTTCACCTGTCCCCATCCTATTAGACTGGCTCCCAATACGGGAAGATTTCACACTCTGCAGCCATCCCCTGGGATCGTTCATAAACGATATACATCCCTTTTCAAGCTCATTTCCCACAAGCACCCTCCGCTCCACTCCATCCCGTGTGCTCCTTCCCTGGGCATCCCCCCCCCGCCCCCCCCTCAAGGTGACACACTTAGCAAACACGCATGCACAACAGCAGGAGGTGGCACGCCATGTGGGGCACGTTCCTGCCCCTGCCGCTGCACCCGTCTGAGTGCCCTGCTCTCCTGCAGTCCCCTGAGCATGTCACCCCCGTTTGCTGAGGTCTTCCCCGCTCTCCTGTGCTCACTGCATTGAGCGTCTCTTGGCAAACGTTCCATATAGACTACCACCCCTTGAGGCTAATTCATAATCTGTGTTGGAAACACCAGGAACTGCCCACTGCTCAACAAAGGGGGGAATGTTACTTGATCCACAAAACAACTCTGATAAAGTTCAGCTGACGTACTTCTAAAAGTTTTTCAGAAAATATAAGAGACCTGGGATGAACAAGGGAAGGGGCACACGGCCTTCTCGAAGGTTTTGGGAGCATATCTGCTCTTCCTTTGCAGGAGCACCCGAGTCTGGCACCCTGTACCAGCTCTCCTAGCAAGGGGGGTGGCTGGATTTAGCCCTCGCCTCCTCCTCCCTCCCTTACACACTCCAGGTCTTGGTATCGTCCTTAGCTACCCCTTCACACACTCTCATGGACACAGATAGAGATCCTAGCTTCTGCCCTTCTCAGGGAAAGAGCTTGAAACCAGACATCTGGCTGTGGGGAGTCATGGTGACCAGCAGAATGGTCAGTGCTGGGTACCCAGAAGTAGACAAAAAGATACCCCATTTCTGGGGAATTGGGAGTTGGCCTTAACTCACTTCGATTGCCAGCACGGGCCACACGACAATTCTGGGATTCCCAGAACCACAGGCGGAGGATGGTCGGGAAAAGTGAAAGTCAGCAAAGCCCTCGGGCCATCCAATTGTACCCCACATGGACAGAACGGGCAGCACCGGAGCAGTAAGAGTCTGGGAGTCAAGGTGACGCTGTCCGCCCGGATATCCAATAAGAAATCAAGATCTCCCCAACCAATGGCACCAGAGGCACAGTGTGGGCCTCATGACATCGCTGACAGAATAGGAGCTCTGGAGTCGGGCCTGGGATCAAATCCTGACCTCGTGGCTGTCCAACCTTGGCCACTTAACCTCACAGAGCCTGGTTCTGCGTGTGCTAATGTGAGGCCTTAATAAAACAAGAAATATATAGAAACATCCAGCACAGTGCCGGCTTTATATAAGGGGCTCAATGAGTGCTGCTTCCCCCCCTCCTTACAGCTTTCAGCTCTCACAGCTCTCAACCCTCACGAACAGGAGCAAGTACTGAGGCTACAGAGCATTTCCCGGCCAGAAGGGCTGCAAAGGATGGCAAAAGCCAGCAGAAGGGAGGGAAGCAAACGGGCCGCCCCATGGCCGCTGAGAGAGAAGCGCTGGACTTCTGTGAATGCCCGGGTTTCAAAACGCACAGAGCTTCGAGCCTCAGGCCAAACCCACACAGGAAGTTTGTGACAAACTTAGCAAACACGCAGGCACCCCTGCAGGAGGCTGCACTCCACTCAGAAAATACGAAATCCAGCATTGGGGGGGGAGGGGGTCTGTGTGGAATAAAAGGAGCGCGCCTGGCCGATGCTCCAAAAGCACAGACGGCTTCCCGGGCGCCAGGGAGCTCCTCACCCCAAGCGCTGGGCAGATCTCAAGAGCTGCTCTGGGCTCCCAGGCGGGGTCTGGCCGCTCCTCCCACTCTCTGTCCCTCCTTTAGCTCCTCAGGCACCAGGGCCGTGAGCACCTTGAGCAGCGATCGGGCCTGGGGGGACACAGGTGTGTGCCATCGTCTTTGGCTGGAAGAACTCAGCACAGAGTGAGGAAGTGGCGGGCGGGGCTCCCACAGGACTCCTCACTCTCCACCTGCCGCTCCAGACCAGGGTCTTCACGCTGCCAGCGTTTTCTCCTCCGAAATCCTGCCCGACGCTACCATGTGCGCGTGGACCGCTCACACCGGTATGAGGTGCTACGACTTCAGGTCACGGCTGTGCAAGTGCAGGCAAAGGTGGACACCCCTAACCTCCATGATGTGTGTCCCATCACCCCGACCAGAGTAAGAACTAGGCGGTCCCTTCCCCTTTGCGCGCAATCTCTCAGCACCTGTGGCTTGAGCCTGGCTACCAGGCCACCTTTG